GCAACTTGCACTGATGCTAAAACTTGTTCTGGATGTACAACTGGATATTATCTCAATGGTGACAAATGCACAAAATGTACAAACGGTTGTTCAGCTTGCACTGATACTAACACTTGTACTGGATGTACAGATGAATATTATTTGGAAAAGGATAAATGCATAGCAGAAGCAAGTTGTAGTGTTTCTGCCACTGGATGTTTGAAGTGCAAAACAGATAAAACAACTTGTCTTTCATGTACAGTTGGATATTATCTAAATAGTAACTCATGCACAAAATGTACAAATGGTTGTACAACTTGTAGCGCTGCTAATACGTGTTCGGCATGTTCAAATGGGTATTACTTGGACAATAATTCTTGCAATAAATGTACAAACGGTTGTTCAGCTTGTACTAATGCTAACACTTGTACTGGCTGTGTTGATGGATATTATCAAAAAGATAAATTGTGCATAAAATGTGCAGCCAATTGTACAAAATGTACTGCTGCTAATGCTTGTTCTAAATGTGTTCCCAATTTTGTTGGATACATTTCTAAAGGTGTGTGTACTCCCTGTTTTTCTGATTATAAATGTGCTACATGTGTTGAAGACCCCAAGGATGCAAATGGTAAATGTACTAAATGTGATACTACTACGATCTATAAATACATGAATGGTAACAAATGTGATGATTGTGAAACCGGAAAAATAACAAAAGATGAAAAGTGTGATTCTTCAAAAAACGCATGTGGAAGTGGATGTGCTGCATGTATGGAAGTTGCTGAAAGTACAACGGCAAAATGTACCAAATGCACTGCATCAACTGATTACATCAATCTTGATGAAACATGTGATAAAACTTGCAAAATTGGTAAAGCAAACAAAGAATCAAATAAATGCGAAAAATGCACTATTGATGGGTGTGAAACTTGTGAAACAGTTGGAAACGCTGAACAATGCACCAATTGTAAAAACAAATACATTTCTACCAACAAAATTTCATGTGCTGATAAATGTACCACTGGTAAACCAGTTGAGACTCCAATTAAAAAGTGTGATAAGTGTGCCACTGAGAATTGCGATGTTTGTGACAAAGATGACAAGTGCACTAAATGCAAGACCAAATTCAATCTTATGGCTGACAATTTGAAGTGTGTTGAGAAATGTCCAGAAGGCTATATGACAGATAAAACAAATAATAAATGCATTAAATGTACCGTTGAAGGTTGCTCAACTTGTGAAAATGTGGATGAATGCACTGCATGTATGGCTGAATACAAGTTGGAAGGAAAAAAATGCAATGAAGCTAATGCTGTTTTTGCGATTATGGCTTTAGTCGTTATGGCGTTTTTATTCTAAAATTCTAAAAAAAGAATTTTAATCAATTTCTTTTGTTTTAAAATAATATTATATAAAAATAACAATATGATACTGTAGTGAATATTCAATAATTTAACTTATATTATAATTTGTTGGATATCTGATATAAACTATATAAACACAACATAATTTAAGTTGATAAGATTTTTCATTTGTTAAGTTTTAAATGGTAAAAAAAAGAAAATATCAAAATGAACAAATAAAATTATTATTTTTTATTTAAATGTATCCCTTTTATTTGATATATGTAACGGTATCTTGACATTTGTCGAACATTTCATTTGTCGAAATTCTGGTGACATTTGTCGACAAATCTTCTAAATTATTTTTAAAAACAATTGAATCAATAACCCATATAAAAATCCAAAAATATAATTGCCACTCAAATATTGATGCAAAAATAACAAACGATGTGGCTTTTTGTGTTGAATCTTATTTTATTGAGAACCATTTAAAAACAAAAAAAAATCAAGAAACATAAAGAATCACTTAAAGTATTTGTGTTGTAATAATAAATTATATTATTTGATAATTAAAATGCATTAAATTTAATAATAAAACTTAATAAAATGAATTCGAATTAAAAAAGAAATATATATTTATGTACAGTGGGTGAAATAAGCCTTTAAAAATGAAAGACTGGTATAAAAACGAGGGTGTTGTTTTCATTGGTCAATTTTTTAAAAAAAGCATTAATTGGTCAATATATTTAAACCCTGGTTTTTGTAAAAACAAAACAGTTGTGAAAAAACACCAAAAGATACAATTTTTGAATTCTATAAATTATAATAAACAAGATGAAATATAAAATTTACTTAAAAATTCTCAAACAGACTTAAAACAAAGACCATAAAAATTGAATCAATACAATGCTCTTTCCTTTCGATAATTTAAGTACTTTCTTTTGCGAATATAATTGATTTTGATCGTCTTTGAGTTTCACAGTACACTAACAAAACTACGGCCCTGTTTCTTCCATGGGTATAACAGTCATACCTCTGATTGATTCATTTCAATGCCCGTTCCTCCATTGTTAACAAGAAAAGAGATCTCTTGTCGCTACCGTCATACCAAAGTTCATCCACTGTTACCACTTTCTCAGTCTTTTTTGTGACTTTTTGACAATTGATAAAGAACTTTTAGTCTTTTTCCCTTTCATTCGTAAACGCTTTTTAAGCTCAGTTTCTTCTACTAAATCTACATCCGTCTTTTAGGATCGATTCACCCTATTCCAATTAATGTTGTCTAGGAACCTTTCTCCTCTTCAGTCCTTAGATATTTTTTTCCTCTTCTAAGTATTTGCTACTTCCACCAAGATCTGTACTCAAGTCTGTTTCAATAGAAATTACTTCTCTACCTTTATCACTCACGTATTCTTGACACCATGCATTTCCTTACTCCTCGTGTGCCTCAGCCTCCACAAGGATACAGTATCACTCTCTCTCATTATAATACCTTCCATTTTCAGGGCTCATCCATTCGATAGGTGAGTTGTTACACACTCCTTAGCGATTTCCAACTTCCATGGCCATCGTCCTATTGTCAATATGAATACAAACATGTCAAACTTTAAAATAATAGTGTTTATTAATTTTTTCCAGGGTTAAAAAACAAAACTTGTAATTATATTATAAATTATATAATATATTATCTATTTTTTGGGCCAAAAAGCGGGAAACATAGCAAAACAATCCAAACAGTAAAAAGTAGAATATGGATTTTTATGTTTTTCTTGTTAAAATACAAAAATAGTTTCAAATACTCCAAATTTAGTATCAAAACCCTCGTTTTTATTCCATTCTTTCATTCTTATAGGCTTATTTCACCCATTATACTTAAATATTTAGATTAATTATGTAGAATTTTTAAATTCGTTTACATTTACACCCAATAATAAAGCCATTAATGTAGAATATATAAAAGATATATTCTGTTTCGTGTTTATCATATTTTTAGCTGCAATTTTCGCAACATTTGGAGTTTTATTTAATACATTTTTAATTGTGTTTTCAAACCATTTATAAACACTTGGTTTAATTTGTGGTATTTTATCTTCTCCACCATAAAATTGAATCTTTGCTTGTTTAACAACGTTAGATTTGTATTTATTAAATGATGTGACTGTTTTTTCTATTCTTTGGTCTTTTGGTTTGTATTATAGTACGCATAATAATTATTACGTTTATTCGGAATGAGTGAATATCCATTCAAATATCTTAGACAACAATCTTCATCATATACACCAACATCTGGTATTTCATCACTATTTATATCATTTGTAAAAGCATACATTATATTTTGTTTAGCAAATAGTTGTGCTTGATCTAACATTTTAGGATTATATCTGATATCATATATAGGATTAGCTGGTAAATCTGGTAAATCTGAAATATATTTATTGTCAGGATTATTCACAATTGCTGACGGATCTATTAGTACACCTGGTTTATCGCCATAAACTGGTTTAGGTGTATTTTTAATATAAGGAGTTCGTTTATATTGAATTGCACCTCGTGATTTTTCAATTTCAAATCTCTTCGATGGTCAACCTACCATATATTTATTTTTTCCAACTTGTTGACTAACTTGTTGAGCTTGTTCTTCTTCCATTTATTAAGTCTAAAAATTGGAATTTCATAATATAGAAATGAATAAAAGTATTTACAGATCTGAAAATCCTCAGACTTTAATAAGTCACACATATCAGAACGATCAAAAGAAAACGCAAATAATATAGATTCTAATATCGATACTTATGTAGACAATATAGTAAACACTGAATTAAATAATAGTAAGAAAAAATTTATATCTAAGATAAATAATGATGTTAATTTCAGATAAAACAGCTTTAATTTATGTATAGGACCACAAGGTAGTTCTAAATCAACATCTGTTATGAAAGAATTAATGAAATTGAGTTTAATGCCAAATGATTATCATCTCATCATATATGTTAATAATAATAGTTCAGATGATACTTTCACATCATTGGTAAATTATATTAATATTCCTGTTGTCAAAATTGATTACGAACATATAGAACAACAATGTGAACAATTGTTGAAATTGAAGGATGAATACGATAAAATGGTAGATGGAGAAATCGATAAAGACGATCAATATTACAAAACTTCTATGTTGACAATTTTGATAAACAACGATTGCACACATTTATTTTATTTGATGATGCATCTTTCATATTTGAAAAGAATTCAAAATCTAAATTCAAGAATTGGTTCTGTCAATGTAGACACTTAAATATAACAGTATTTGCTTGTATTCAAATATTTAATGCAATTGATCCAAAATTAAAATCACAGCTCAGTACTGTATTCTTATTCAAAGGATTTAGTAGAGAACGTTTGCAACTAATATATAGACAATGTTGTATTGATATGTCATTCTCAGATTTCTTTAATTTTTACATGAGATTACAAAAATATATAAAAAATAATAATCGATAATATAGATTGTTCATTGGTTATAAAGTAATTTAAGTATACAATTAAATTTGTTATCTAAACTTTTAATGTGACTCATTATTAAATCTAGTCTATCTTCTATGTTGAAATCATTATCAGAATTATTTTTATCATTAATTTCATTTATCATTTTAGTAATGTTTACATATCCAACTCTGTTTTTATGATAACCTAATATTTTGAATTTGATGTTCACTCTATTAGTCGGAATTTTTTAATATCTTCTTCATATTTATTAAAATATTAATCAAAATCTTCTTTACTTTCAAAACTCATAACAGTTTCATATAAGTTTTTAATTCTGGTATAGCTACTTGTAAAGACATTTGATAATAATATAAATCAAATTATTAAATTCAAAAAATAAGTATTAAATAAATAAATAATTATTCAAATAAGTCATTCGATCATAGACATTAAATATATTTCTTTAACATATTGTTAAGATTAATATTTTGATAAAGTTTAAGATGAGTACAAGACTCTTTTGCAGAATTAAATTGTTCAGTTGCTTTTGACGATGAATTCATATGTTCAAAATAATATTTATAACAATATTCTCTATCTTCTTTGACAAACATATTGAATATAGTAAATAACTTGAATAATGTCAATCCTTTATTAGCATGAGCATGAATCTCAGATATAATTACTGCTATTTTATTTATATCTCCTAATTTATTGGTACCATATTCAATGTCTTGAACTATTTCATTTCCTTCTTCATCATGTATTCTGGTTTTGGTCTTATTACATAATACAACATCAATATTAGGAATATATAATACTTATCCTAATTTTAATATGTTATATATATCATATAAATTGTCTAAATTATCTAAATTCTTTGACAGTTTTATTTCTTTGTCTATGATTTATATGTTTATAAGTTCCTATTTTTTACAATGATTAAGTGCTTGACTTCAGTATTTCATAACACGAGGTCCATTTTTTAATCCGGTCTTGGAACCATAAATCTACTTCATATAAAGGATTGGAAATAATTTTAATAACTCTATTATTATTTCTAAGTTCACTAGGTATCATATCAAATTTACAATAATAATGTAACCCATTCGATGTGGTTTTGACTAGACCTTTATGTAAATGATATTTTTGATAATATATTGTCTAAGGATGATATTATATTGTTTATCATAAGCATCAGTATTAATATCAAAAACTATCATAGCAATATCACTTTTAATAATATTAATACTTGATCCAATTTGTTTTTTATCATTATCAATTCTCTCATTTAATCTTTCATCATCATCATTATAGTCTCCATCTTCATTTTTTCTATCAATTGTGAATTTCTTATTATCATATGTTAAGTAACTTGTAACATTAATAGAATCATAATTTCTTTTTACATGGCTTATATCTTTTTCATATTTTTCTTTGAATGATGGTTTATATATTTTCTTTTCAATATCTTTTTATTTCATGTGATATTCTTTAAAAAATTTTTCAACACCAGATTCATCCCTTTCT